AACTTGACAAATGAGAGGAGGCCAGTTGACAAACCTTGCCAATTTGGTTCTTAGTAGCTAATTGATCCTATAAGCAGTCCTGCTTTTTATTTGTAAAATTGCCTGGATTGTATTATGGAGAGAGATAAAGTAGAGCGAATTTTGCACCAGAGGCAAAACAAAAGGCATTTACATTGTCCCGATTATTGTCTACGATTATACGATTTGACAAGGTCTTTCAGTGCTCAGTTTCCCTGCTGCCTCTCACTGTAATGGGCAGGATCCAAGGGACACGCTCGGTGACAGAAGAGATTTTTCTCACCATAAAAAGTACACGTACCTGAACACCCTGCAGAAGAAGCTTTTAAAAACTGATTATCTCATGTCATATTTGAATTACACAATATGCTTTGTTCCTTGCTTCACAGAGGTGTGCATATTCACTTATTTTAGTTTTTTAAAATACTTTAATAATAAACACACAATTGCGTGGTTTTGAATTCAAAGCTTTGTGTGGTTTGTAACTTCTGAAGGCAGTGTCTCCTGCAGTGTTGGTGCCTGTATCAGTGTTACCTGTCCCAGTGCTGGTGAACCAGGATGTGCAAGAGTTCAGGTTGATGTTTTCCAGCTGGATAGGCTGCAAGGCACTGGGGCCCTTGGTGACCCCGATACACACCAAGGGGTACTCCTGGTCAGGCACCACCAGCATCACAAACACGCGCAGGGGGCTGGGAAGGGGGAAGTCAAAGTGCTGCAGTAAAAGCATGAAAAAAAAGACGCAGAAATCAGTTTTTTGTTTTTACGATCATCTTCCCAAACTGTGCAGAGTCAGCAATCTGTGGAACAACAGTTTAGTCCAGTCTGTTCTTCTGCCTGGAAGAATTTTATTCCAAACGCAGTTCAAAATGTCTTAATCTAAGCTTTCACCTTTGAATTCACTCCATGCAAGATAACCTCACGATAATCCATGCATTATTTTGCAAACATGCGTATTTGTGAGGGAAGAATATTTTATTACAAGCCTTCGCTTTCTGATGCATTCGGGCAGCTGCTGTAAAACGCAGAAAGGAACACGATTTTCGGACTAGCTTCCTGAAGTATGACCCGAGGGGAAAAACACTGGGCCAGAGGAGGAGACCGTAAAGGCTTGGGAAGGAAATGGTTCTGACACAGTCCGGGCTGCCGTGCGACTGGGCTGGGAAGGGAGCACTGACCTTGATGAGCATGAATTTGTGCATGGGCTCGTACCACTGCAGGAGGACAACGCTGGACTCCAGAGCCCCACACAGGAAGATGCAGCCGCGCTGAACGTTGTGCGCTGCAGAGATGCAGACAGGCACGTGACCGCCGGGGAGAGATACAGAGCGTTTAAGACCGTTCTCTTCTTGTGCATACACAATACACAGCAGTGTGGCTCATAAGAACACAGGGGTAGTAACAGGGGGTTAAAAACAAGAGAAAATTTCGCCCATGATGCTCATTTGGGTGGTCACGTCTTGAATGATGGCAGGAATTCTGTGGCAACAACACAGCTGGGGAGTTTGTTCCAGACCCCCCCTCCCTGCCCACTTCACAGACAAGCTTTTGAAGCCCTTTTGAAATGGGCTTTAGTATTTCTTTCACTAGCCACCTGCAAGAGCCCGAACCCGAAGACCCCGAGTTGTGGAAAGGAGAGCAGGTTCGTGCAGGACTCACCCACAGAGCAGGCCCTGCAGCCCTTGGTGTCCGGGATCTTACTGGTCACCGCAAACTTTCTGAAAGGAAGGAGCGGGCTCTTTCAGTGTTGGGCAATAGAAACCACTGGAATGTCCAGGAGCACATACAGCAGCACAGTACATTTAAAATAACAGAAAGATGGGGCTTTTCTTTGCTCAAATGTTTAACTAAAACTTGTTCTTTTAAAGCAATGATTCCTCATTTGGGGACTGTATAGTGGGTGAGTAGTGGTCGTTATTAAGGACTGTTGTTCTTTACAAATAGGCGCCCATATTTCAATCTTGCAGTGAACAGAGAGGGCCGAGGGCCGCGATAACCACTGAAACAGTTGTGCATAGAGAAGTGGAATAGAGAATCTAAAGTCCCTACAGCTTCTTAAGTGTAACACACACTGACCTTTTTTTACCTAAGACTTCTGTCTTTATTTCACGTTAGTTGTCATGCCCGGACCGGACCGGCCTGACCCGACTCACGAGCTCTCGGCCTGCCACGCCTTTCAGCGAAGCCAACACTTTTTCAATCAGGCTCCCGATCGAGCTCCTGATCTCGCGAGTTACATGCCTTTTTCAGTCACCTCGAACCGCAGTGCTGTTGCTGCAGCTTTAGAGCCTCAGTGCTCATGTGAGCAGCTCCTCTCTTTGCTAGAAAAGTTTCTGCGTTCAGTTTGTTTCCCTGTGCATGGAAACAGACGTTTCCCTATCTCATCCTTAGTTTTTCTTTTTTTCTCTTCCTATTTTTCCCTTTGTGATTTTTTTCCTGTTTTTAATCATTTTTACAGCGCTGGCTGGCCAGCCAGCCTCTCCCCTTTTATTTTTCAAGCTAGGAGCCTCGCTTATTTTGGTTTTTCCTCAGACAGCCCTTTACAGACCGTCTTTTATTCCTGCCTGCGTCAGATCTCCCTTATATTTATAGATCCCAGCCTGCTTTTCCTATAACATCTTTAACAGCGCCTTGAAACCTGCGCCTGGGCTTCGACCAATCATCACGCTGCAGTCATACAAAACTTTCATCTCAAATGAATCTGTCCGTAACTGCAGAGTTGTCCCTTGGCAGCCATGTACCTGTGCGTGTGTGTTTGCAAGGGCTGTTACCTGGGCAGCAGTCTGTGTGTAGGCAGCCTATACTCTTTGTGGGCCTGGTCGTAGAGTTCCTTCAAAGAGTGGGAGTGGAGCTGAGATGCCTTGCCTGGGAGAATGACACCGCAAGCAGAGTTATAGGTGTTGTCCTGTCATATCGGCGCGCATAGTAGAAATCAATTATCATACATACAGTGTCAAATTTTAATAACTTTGTAAAGCGCCTGTAATCTGGAAGGATCCGATCCCAAAGTGCTCGATATGTGGATGGGGACCCACTTCATCTAACACCTTGGTGCAGCACCCCCTGGGTGACACCGGACAGCCGGTCTGCACCAGCAGCTCCACAGCACAGCAGATCAGGGGGAGGAGAGAGGGAGCACTTCACCAGCCGGATTAAGGGAGGACTTTTTGGAGGGTCACGTGTGCACACATCCATAGTTTGATTTACTCAGGACACTGGGGACCAGGATACTTAACACCCCTACTATTTTGGAAAACATGCTCGGAGTTGAACATGTACACACAGAACCTCAGTTTAAAGGCTCATCTGAAGAATGCCACCTCCTACTGTGTCCATGGATCCCCCATGCTGGATTGTGAAAATGCCTGTGCAGAGGGGAGAGCATCACCCACTGATGCAACAGCAGCAATCTGGCATCACCCACTGATTCAAAAGCACCACTTGCAGCAGCAATCTGGTTTTCCTCAGAGGTCTCCCATCCCAGTTCCCAGCTTAGCTTCTGAGATCTGACCAGAAATCAGACTACGATGGGCTATTGCTGCCGCCAGACGCAACATGCAGACCTCTGCAACGCGAGTCTATAAAATGACTGTTTGACTGGTTCAAGCACTGGGAGAGGCTAGCACCAGGAAAGGGAGAGCATGAATTTAGGAACCTCAGCAATACTGCCAAAGGGAAGCCATTCAAACTTATATCTGTTTTCTGGTAGACTTGTATGTGTGGTCTGACAGAGAATGAAAGACAGCCCTACCTGATATTGACATGAGGACATTGCTGATAGTATAGACCCACGTGCACTTTCCTGGGTAAAGCTGCAGGAGAGGGAGACAGACACTGAACTGAGAGCTCTTGGGAAACAGGCGGCTTCATGTCATAATATCGTAGATTACTGCCTCTGTACAGGGGCCTGAATCTTAATCAGACTGATAAACTGATCCATCCAAATGCACGTCACAATAAGTAATTCATTGTTTGTTCAATTCACGCGATTCCTTTATTCAAAACAACTTCCACTCTTCACAACTACTGAACTGTAAAAAACTAGCAAAGCATAGAGACTTTACATTAGAATTACAGAACATAACCCTCTACTTTATGCAATAAGTTCCTCCAGACAATACAATGCAAATGCAAGTATGTATCTGGAGTCTACAGGTACAGTAAGGATGGAGATAGTGGACACATTGTGTAAAATGAAAGAGTTGTTTCTCAGAAAGGCTCTTACCAGTTCCAGCGTGGCCTCTGGCTCATTAAGATTTAATGTAAATATGCCCTCCTCTGCTCCGAAGATTAAGTGACTATCTGAAATAAAAAAACAATGCAGTGGTATAACCCGGCATTGAAAATTCTCTATGGCCCATGTTGAATTACAGCAATGTTCCACAGATGGGTGCATCACTCCTCTGTTTCTGGAGGAGGTGTTACTGGACCTCTTGAATGAGCAGCACTATGAGCAGCTTGATGTGGACAGTATACTGCAGAGTAGAAACAAGCATTACTTATCCGCTATGATGTAGGGCCTGATGCAGACAGTCACCCAGCCAGAAGACTGATGAACTTACAGAATTGTTGGGAAACTGGATTATTTCACTTATTTGTTATTGCTCATTTTAATTTTGCAAGAATCTTCCCTCTCTGCTTCACATCTCAAACAAATATGGAATATCTCTTTGAAATGAATACTTCATAAATAAATAAATCATTTTAACCTTGGCTTAAACATCACTGCCAAGGGAGCCACATTCATACTGGTCATGGTACTGAGGAACTGTGAGATTTCAATGCAAAAACTATCCAACTATCCAACCTTTTGTGCTGGGGTGGGTCCAGGCTGTCGAACAGTGAATTTTCAGAGGGCAGCCGATGAATACCTTCTTCAAAAACACCTGGGAGAAGGTAAGGGTGATACCATTCTTTAGCAAACAGAATACAGAAATAAAAAACGAATGACAGAAAAACGAAAAACGAAATATAGTCCACATTTCAGCAGATTATTCTTGAAATTTAAAATAATACAAGTACTTAAATTATTTAAATCATCCAAAGCTATCAAAATAGGTTAATATAGCTTAAAGATGCTCAATAGCGCGAGAAGCCAGTGCTGACTTATCCTGCAGTGGCTGCTGTTTGCATGCATGTCGGTGTAGGATTCACTATGGGAAACTCCTAGAGACTGTTAGCCAGGAAAAACCCAGGGGTCCAAAAGGATACGCCACTTTGTTACTGAGGTCACGCAAGAGCAGACTTACTGGAGACTTTGCTAACAGCTGACTGGGACACTCTGAGGGAGTCTGCAGGGAGAGAAATACAGGAGAGGTTCAAGCTGATAGGACTCAGTTGCAGTGATGCAGAGACTACACAAAGACATCAGAGGACACCCTCTGATCTTGTGTCTTTCAGGCTACCCTTCCAGATAAGTGTTTGTACTGGCTTGCTGAGGCTTTGACTGAAATGTGAAAAAAGAAAAGAAAAGAATGACTGCTGTGTTGAAATGCTTGTCACCTGCTGTTATGAAACTTAGGGAAGTTAACAGGGTATTTAAGCTTTCCCATGGCTTTGCTGTCACAGTTTATATTTGTGTTGCTTTGCAGTTGTTTCACACAGTTTTTCATCATGCTTCCCCTCACCTTTCTGCTTTACACCTACCATGATCAGAAAGGTCACAGATCAGAGGAAATCCTTTAGCTTATTGCACATGCTCTTGCTCCATTATCAGATGGCCAATACAGAGCAAAGGAGGGAAAATTGTATAGTAGCTGATCAGCCCTAACCTGCATCTCATGTAAACATGGGAAGAGCATGTAAGCTCCATGTGGGCAGGCTGTCCAGTCCAAAATCTAACCCAGGACGCTCGGACTATGGGATAGTATCGCTCATCATCATACCACTGTGTCGTCTATAATAACATCAGAAAGGTTACGAACACGAGAACGCCATTCTATTCATCTACAGTAACTTGTTGGGTGGCCAGTAGCTGGATCTCATCCATCTTCCAGACACCAACCCATTGTGTGAAGGTGTGTCTCTTGTTCTCACTCTTAAATACACTTCCTCCTTAGTTTTTCACTTCAGTCCTCCCGTTTAGTGTGCTTTCGTCATGCTATCCCAGAGCAGCCTTCTGTGAAGCTGACTTTACCTGTCGCTGTTGCTGGGGCTTCCTGTCCTTTTTGGGGGGCAGGAGGGGGGGCTGGCAATCCAGGGGGCTGTCGACTGGAGTCACGCGGTGGGTGGGGTCTGCACAGGAAGAGGAGCAGCAGACAGGTTGGCCATTGGCACCTGCTTTATCAAATAGCACAACATGGGACACACACCTCCAACCGAATCACATCAGGGGTCTGTCGTCAAAGTCAGACTGTACTGCGCGCGTGCTCTATTCTCACTCTGAGGCTGTGCGTGTTTTGCAGATCTAAAGTGTTTTGTTGCCCTCAGTCTGGACCGGTTGGCTGTGGTATGAATTTGGGACATTTCACTACAATGAACAGCAGTATGCAAATGTTCAGTCCCATCATTTTAGTCCTCTAGATGTTGCATGCATTCATATGTACCATTAGCTGCTCTGAAGCTGCTCCTTGATGTTGGAAATATTGACGACTGCAGTGATGGCGTCTGCCCTATTTTAAACTTGCTACATCTGCGTTGTGGTGTCTTTAACACACCAGGGGCGTGTCAGCAAAGTGCCGTAGACAGACATGCGGTCCTCACCTGAGCTGACGTTGCGGACCGAGCGCGGTCTCGGCACCGGGCGGTTCCTAGGGCTACTGGAGCAACGCACGATGGGGGAGGGGCTGTACAGCGAATTTCCTGTCCGGCAGCGGTCCTCTTCTCCCGCCATGCTTTCTTCAGAGCTGGTGCGGGCCTTGGGCTGAAGCAGCACATTGAGGTCGTCACTCCACTGCCATGAGGCAGATTCTAAAAAGGGGGGCTTCGGGGCACCCCCTTGTGCACGTTAGCTTCAGGACGTTTACTTCTGAATTTGGCATTTTTACGCTCATTTACTTGGCTTTCACCGTGAGCTCCTATGGGTTCGGATTCACCCTCGCTTGTCGGGTGTCTAGCACAGCGGCCGATTAGACACACATACAGAGAGACTGGCGACACTGAACACATCTGCCATCACTCACTTTGGGTGGCAAAGGGGGCGGGACCTCATCAGCCTGCAGTGTCCTGCTGCAACACAAAGGAGACAGGAGAGCCGTTGGTCAGCAGGCAGGCACAGAGCTCACTGGTCACTCAGGAGAGCTCAGCTTTTTTAAGACAATCACAGAACACAACTGTGCATAATCATGGAGATGTTACTCAGGAATGCTGGAGAGCTCAGGTCTTTTTGAGATGATCCGTGATCACAGAACACAACTGTGCATAATCACGGAGAAGTTACTCAGGAATGCCGAAGAGCTCAGGTCTTTTTGAGATGATCCGTGATCACAGAACACAACTGTGCATAATCACGGAGAAGTTACTCAGGAATGCCAAAGAGCTCAGGTCTTTTTGAGATGATCCGTGATCACAGAACACAACTGTGCATAATCATGGAGACGTTACTCAGGAATGCCAGAGAGCTCAGCTCTTTTTGAGATGATCACTGATCACAGAACACAACTGTCCATAATCATGGAGACATTATTATGTGGTGTGCATTTTAAACTGGGTGACTTGCTTCCCTCAGCTCCAGTGGGGACAGACAGATGATGAAAATAGTCGTCTTACCTGTCGTGGTCATAATTGCTGGGACTGCGTAGAGAGAGAAAAGGAGAAGTGTTAGTTCTTTGATACCTTCATTCAGCTGTACATTGTGCAGCAATTCTTGATCAAAGTCTTGCTGAATGGTAACTGAATTATTTGATTTATAATTGATAAGGCCACAGATCTTTCTTTTTATTTTTCTTTCCATTAGCAGATTATTTGTCAGCACATCTCCACCAAAAATACAGTAGTTTTTAATTTGATGGGCATAACTGTACCTGCTCGGATAGAGGCTGTGCTGTGAAGGAAGTATTTCCATATGTAACATCATTAATAAAATATGTTATCTCCATTTCACGTAATAATTGCTATCGGTATCTGCCTGCAGCTGTGTGAGGAATGCTAGGAAATGCATTGCTAAAATGATCCATTCACAAAATTCAGGATTCATTTCAGTTAAGTTTCACTGTAAATTTTGAATATGAAATTTTATAGAGATGACCTACTCTCCATGCCTATGAAAATAATTGAGCTTAAAAGTTATCTTACATGTCAACGTCGTCATAATCATCATCATCATCAGAGTCCATGCTTTCATCTCTGAGAGAGGAGGAGAAGGAGGCAAAGGGAATTTTATTAGAATTTCAAGAGGAAAAAGGTTCGCAGTTCATCTTTCAGCTTATATTTCAGCTTTTCACTCCATCAGCGCTTAGCCCAGATGGAATGTGCACTAGCCTGCTGCTCAGTCAGTGTCTGTTCAGTGTGTTGTCTAGCTTGTCAGTGTGCCACTCAGTTGGTGTATCACACATTTGCTGGGGTGATCACTGTATGGCACTGGGACAGTCATCTGCACAGTACTGCTCACTCTCAAGCTGTGTCAGTCGAGAGCCTGTTGTTCTATAAAGCCTCTTTCATGGTGATAGTCCCAAAGCTCTTGGTGAGGAATTATATTGCAGTCAAGCCCAGAAAAAGTAAAGAAGGCAGGTTACATGTTGTACTGAAAGTACAGGGTGGCCACAAAGTCCTGCTACCCCCCGTTGTGTGGACAGTTTGTTAGTCTCTCCATCTGTGTGCAAGACGATGTCAAGCTGACTGAACATGCAGAAGGGGCAGATCCTTCTGTGTCCCGAGAAAAATGACTCCCAGTGGCAATGAATCTTCTGGATGTTCTAATCACAGTGATCACCACCGTTAGAACATTAACAGTCTCAAATGCTGTCCTGTCCCAGCTCTCCAGGTGTATCGGGCCCCGTACCTGGTTGAGAACCTGCTGTCTGTGGTGTTCCCACCCCTCTCCTCCTGTCTCTTCTGTAACTGGAACACAGGCAGGGCAGGGAAGAGGACTCAGTTGTCACGGACGTCCAAAGGGACTAACCG